CTCCGGCTGCCCGGCCGGCGGGGCAGACCTGTTCCTCTGGAGCCCGGGTAGACCTGTTGTCCCGCGCACGACCGACCCTCTGGCCGCCGGGCGCCGGGCTAGAGAGGGAAGGAGCCGGCCGGTAGGAGCCGGCGGCGCTCCCGCCTCCTCCTTTGTGCCCAAAGCCACGGCAGCCCGGCTCCTGCCTCCCTTTCTGCGTCCCTCGCTTCCTTCGGCCGTCCTGCCCCGGGCTGGGACGGGGCCGGGCCGGGCCGGGCCGGAGCGCCAAGGAAGGAAGGCCGTCAAAGCAGGAAGGCCGGGCGAGAGCCGAAGAGAAGGCTTCTCGGAAAAGGGGCTGCCGCCTCTGCCGCGGGCTCTGGCCCTGCCGGCCGAAGGCCCCGCCTGCCTCGATGTGGGCCGGCTCCCGGCCCTGCCGCCGCTGCAGACGTGCCAAGCGGCCGAGCAGAGAGCGGGCGGGGGACTTGAGGGTAAAGGCTGCGGGCGGCGCCGGGGAGTCTGACGGGGCAGGGCGGGGCGCCCCCAACCGTCGATGGGCGGGCGGCTGCCGCAGACAGGGCAGGGGCAGGGGGCAGGGACGGGGAGAGAGGCCACGCCAGAGTGCGTGCAGGAGCGGCGGGACGGGGTTGGGGGCGGGGGGGTGCTCTGAGGGGGTGGCGTCGGATTGTGAGTGTGCGGAGCGGGCGTGCGTGTCCCTGTCTCTCTCCCTCTCTCTCTGTACCTCCTCTCTCTTTCTCTCTGTGAGCGAGGGCCGTGGGCCGGCGCCTCCGTGCTGGCGCCGGGCACCTCGACGCCGAGCCCCCCGCGGCCCCCCGCAGACCCCTGCCGAGGGCCGAAGGGCTCTGCGGACCGTGAAAGAAGCAGCCCAGGAACGGCCCAGAAGCGACCGCCCGAGTCGCATCGGGGGCCGCCGCCGCCGCGCTTCCCTTGCACGCTGGCCCCGCTGGGATGCTGTGGCCCCGTGGCCCCGGGGGCAGACCTCGTGTTCCGGGCGCCGGGGGCAGACCTGTGTTCCCGGCCCCGAGGTTGACCTGTTGTCCGAACGGCGCCAGCTTAGACCTTTTGTCCGGCCTCCGGGGTAGACCTGTTGTCCGGGCGCCGGGGTAGACCTTTTGTCCGAACTCCGGGGTAGACCTGTTGTCCGGCCTCCGGGGTAGACCTGTTGTCCGACCGCCGGCATAGACCTCTTGTCCGGGCGCCGGGCTAGACCTGTTTCCAGGGACCCGGGGTAGACCTGTCGTCCGGCACCCGGGCTAGAGCTCTTCTCCGGGCGCCGGGCTAGACCTTCGGTCTGGGCGCCGGGCTAGACCTTTTTCTCCGGGCGCCGGGCTAGGCCTGTTTCCAGGGACCCGGGCTAGACCTGTTGTCCGGCACCCGGGCTAGGGCTCTTCTCCGGGCGCGGGGGTAGACCTTTTTCTCCGGGCGCCGGGGTAGACCTCTTCTCCGGGCGCCGGGGAAGACCATTTGCCCGGGCGCCGAGGTAGACCGTTTTCTCCGGTCGCCGGGCTGGACCCGTTGCCCGTGCGCCAGCTTAGACCTTTTGGTCCGGGCGCCGGGGTAGACCTTTGGTCCGGGATCCGTGGTAGACCCGTTGTCCGGACTGCGGGGTAGACCTCTTGTCCGGCCTCCGGGGTAGACCTGCTGTCCGGACTCCGGGGTAGACCTCCTGTCCCTGCTGGCGGGTAGACCTCTTGTCCGAATCTCGGGGTAGACCTGTTGTCCGGACTGCGGGGTAGACCTGCTGTCCGGCCTCCGGGGTAGACCTGCTGTCCATACTCCGGGGTAGACCTCTTGTCCGAATCTCGGGGTAGACCTGGTGTCCGAACTCCGGGGTAGACCTGCTGTCCGAACTGCCGGGTAGACCTGTTGTCCGAACGCCGGGGTAGACCTCTTGTCCTAGCTGGCGGGTAGACCTCTTGTCCGAATCTCGGGGTAGACCTGTTGTCCGAATCTCGGGGTAGACCTGCTGTCCGAAATCCGGGGTAGACCTGCTGTCCGAAATCGGGGGTAGACCTGCTGTCCAAACTCCGGGGTAGACCTCTTGTCCGAACCGCGGGGTAGACCTGGTGTCCGAACTACGGGGTAGACCTGTTGTCCGAACCGCGGGGTAGACCTGTTGTCCGAACTCCGGGGTAGACCTGTTGTCCCTGCTATCGGGTAGACCTGTTGTCCGAATCTCGGGGTAGACCTGCTGTCCGAAATACGGGGTAGACCTGCTGTCCGAAATACGGGGTAGACCTGCTGTCCGAACCGCGGGGTAGACCCGTTGTCCGAATCTCGGGGTAGACCCGTGTTCCGGGGTAGACCTGGTGTCCGGACTCCGGGGTAGACCTGGTGTCCGAAATGCCGGGTAGACCTGTTGTCCGAACTGCCGGGTAGACCTGCTGTCCGAACTGCCGGGTAGACCTGTTGTCCCGGCCGGCGCCGGAAGTTCGCCAAGGGGTCGCTGTTTCCAGCCGCCTCCGGCTACGTCGACGTAGAGGGCGGCCTGCGGTGGCGCAGCTTCCCGGTCGAGCGCCAGCGGTCCCCTTGGAGGCGCCGGCGGCCTTGGACTCGTCTGTACGTATATTGGGAGCGAGGTGACGGGCCGCATCCCCGCAGGTTCCACGAGGGCGCCTGTGTCCGAGGCGGAGGATAGGGCGGCCGCGTCGCGCGCGGTCGTCGGGGCGAAGCGAGTGCCGCCTGCACCGGGTGAGCCGCGGGGGCTTGGTCCCGGTGCCCCGTCCTGCCCCCCAGGGCAGTTTCGAGGAATATCCGACCCGAGAGGCCAGCGAGAAATGACGAGGCCGAGAAAGCCAGAGCGAGGGCCGCGAGAGAGACGAAGCGAAAGGCCGAAAGAGCGTGTCGAGAAGCCGCTCGCTGAGCGCAGCCAAGGTTGCAGAGAGAGACAGCCCCCGCCGCGGGCGGGCTCGAGTGTGGCGTTCCGCTCCGGTCGGCCGCCGCCGGCCCGGTTTGCAAGGGGGGGCGGCCCCCCTGGGACACGATGGGCTGGCGGGCGAGGTGCGGCGGCGCCTCGTCCCTTTTCTGCCTGGCCTTAAGCCGGGGCCCGCCGGGCGCGGGTGTTTCTTTTCGGCTGCCGGTCTTGGTCGCCCGGTGGCCGGCAGCCGGGGGTCGACGCGGCCGGGGTTTTTCCCCGGCCCTTGCCCGAGAGCCCCCAAACCCCGAGCAAGGCCCGGTCGGCCCGCCGCGGTGGCGGTGCCCGGTTCCCCCGCTCCCGACCTCGTTTGCCAGCGTGTCCGTGTCGGAAGGGCAGCGGCGGGGCACCCGCGGCCTGGCCCCGGCCTTCGCCGTGTGGCCGGAGACAGGGGGGGGGGCTCGGTGACGGCGGTCGCCCGATCCAGCCGTGGCGCCGGGGTGGCGGCACCCCGTGCCAGCGGCGCCTCTTGTTGAAGTCGTCCCCCTTCCTCGGCCTTAAGCCGGGGACCCGCCTCGCGGCGGGCAGCCTTTTTTTTCCACCAGCACGGACCGGAGCCCCGGCAGAGAGCACTCCCGGAAGGTCGCGGGCGTAGGCGGCGGCGCCTCGCCCTTCCTCGGTCGTGGCGACCGAGCCCGCTTCTGCCGGGGTGGGGCTGGCTTGCCCGGCCCCCCCCGGGTCCGTTGCTCTTTTTGAAGGCGTGCGCGCGGGTGCTGTGGGGGCGCCCCGCCCGCCCGGCCTCCGATGGCCTTTTCCTCTTGCGGCCCTAAGCCGCGGCACGGAGAAGCGTGCGGGCCCACGAAAGCCGAGGTTGTGTGGCAAAGAAGTGGGGGGCTGAGCGAGCCCCGAGCCGAGCCGATGCCGGCGGGTTCCGAAGCGGGGAGGGCAGCGAGAGAGGCCGCGTGCGCCTCGCCCCCCGCCCCGGGCCCACGGCCCCCGTGGCTAGCACGGGTCCTTGTGGTGTCCGCGCGCCCATGTGCCTTTTTTTTTTTTTTTTTTTTTTTTTTTTTTTCCTCTTAATCGGTGACCTACCCCGGCTTTTCCGAAGGCGAGAGACACAGAGGGAGACCGAAGCCCGCGCCGCGAGGCCGGGCGAGAGCCGGTGGCGGCACCGTTTCCTCGCACGCTCGGACGCGGTTCCCCAGCCGGGAAGGGTGAAGCCCACCCCTCCCCCGGCCCGGCGGTCCCGTCCTCCCGTCGCCCGGCCAAGAGAACCGTTGTCCGCGGGTGGGTGGCGGCACCCCCCCGATCTCCCCGGCCGGGACCGATCCGCGAGAGAGGGATCGGTCGGGGACACGCGTGTCCCCGCTCGCACGCGCGCGGAGCCCCCCCCCTCCCCGCCACGACCCGTCGGCGGGTCGTGCGCGCTGGGCTCTGCCGTGGCCGTTGGTGCGTTCCGCACTTTCGGCCGGGGGCGGTTCTGCGGCTGCTGGGCTCTCGCCTCCCCGCTTCGCTGCCTCCTCCGCCCTTCTGCAGCCGCGTCCGCCCCGATCGATGAGGCTTCTCGGGTGGCGTCGGAGAGGGCCCCCGGCCGGCCGGGCTTTCTGCCGGGGCTTCTCTGTCATGGGGAAGCTCACGGCCGGGGTCCGGTGTTCGGGCCGGGCGGTCTCTTCTTCGATTCGCTTCCCGTCGCAGGCGAGGCGTCGCCCCTCCCGCTGCCGGGGAAGGGCGTCTGGACCGTGCCCAGCTGTGTGACGGCCGCGTGGCCCCGCGAGCCTTCCAGGTTGTCCTTCGAAAGCAGGCGAGGTTTTGCCGGTGCCGGCCTCGGTCCCGGTTTGAGCGCCCCGTGGGTGTGCCGGCCGCGAGCAGCGTCGGGCGGCGGTGCGGCTGGAGCCGAGCCGCGAGGAGAGAGAGAGAGAGAGGCGCGAGTCGTGACTCGTTGTCTCGGAGCAAGGGACGAAAGCCCGATGCGTGTGTCGGGGGTGTGCGGCCGGGGGAGAGAGAGCGAGCAGAGAGCCCCCCGAGCCCGATGGGGCGCGCGCGCGCGCGCACCCTACGCCGCACGGCGCTCCTTTGCCGTTCCGCCGCCTGCTGCAGAGCGAGCCGCCCCGTCTGGCAAGGGGCCTCGGTGTCCGGGCCGCGCCCGCCT